AGTTACAACGCTAGAAACCGGGTTTCGATGCATAGCACAGATAACCCTTCGTGTAGCTTTGTGTTTAGCTACAAACAAACAAGCATAATTTCTTTGTTGTGGTAAGTTCACCGTTTCAATCCAAGCTCGTGTAGTTCGAACCCAGTGACACAGCGGTATGTCTGCGGAGTTACAACGCTATAAACCGGGTTTCGATACCCGTTACGGGCATAGCACAGATAACCCTTCGTGTAGCTTTGTGTTTAGCTACAAACAAACAAGCATAATTTCTTTGTTATGGTAAGTAAGTTCGCCGTTTCAATCCAAGCTCGTGTAGTTCGAAGTTTTCGAGTTACAGATTACCTTATTCACAAAGTTGAAAAGTTAACATTCAGGTACTTTACACTAGAATATTCAGATGAATAGTGTATATATACATATTTAGGCATCCTGGTTTTCAAATATGTCTATAATTCTCCTCAATTACTTATTTATGGAAGTCATTGGATATAAAGTTCTTCTTTTTTATTTCCTAGTTTGTTTGTTTATTGAATTTTGCTCAAACTTACTCGAGTATTATTTGTGTTAGCCTTTCCTATTTTTGAAGTGATAGACTAGAGGGAAGGCAGTTAGTCAACAGTCACTCTTGTCTAACCGAATAGTGAGACTTGACTGTCACCCTTATAGCACATTAAAAGTTCCGGAAGCGAACAATGAATCATTCCATTCATAATAGCCCCCCCCCCCTCTCAGTGGCACAGTGATATGTCTGCGGACTTATAACATTAGAAACCGGGTTTCGATACTCGTGATTGGCAGAGCACAGATAGCCCATTGTGTTGCTTTGTGCTTAACTTCAAAAAACAATTCATAATCCGGGCACCCCTATTAAGATTAAAACAATGAAATCCCTCCAATTTTTAAAGATAATACTTACTCAAAGCTAATTAAGGAAACACGGAATTTCTACTAGGCCAAATACAAATCGCCCGTAACATTATCTAACGTCTTCCAAATTATTTCTTTGTCGTTCGTGTCAGCCTCGCTCTTATTAAATTTATTTATCTGAACGTTATTTTTTTCCACCGCAAGATGGCATCCTACTTCAAAGATAGTAACTATAGCTTTATTTCAACAAAAAATTTTCATCGAAAATATTTAAGAAATAATCTTCTATAATTTTGCAAAATGTATTTTAGAGTAACTTGCAAAGGGAAAGAAAATATGATTGAACTTTGATCTCTGCGCAGCTCCAAGGGTTACAACATTAACAACGCTCTTATAGAATTTATTATTTTTCTGCCAATACCAACGTATAAGGCTTAGGTTTACTCAAAATCATACATATCCAATTTTTGTTTCTCGTGTGACTTTTTCTCTCAGTGGTTTTATTTCAAAAATCCTATCAAGGGGGGGATTTTACGACGCCACAGCAAGTGGGTTGGACAATAAAGCTACCTTCCTTCTACTCTATTAGGTCAGACAAAAGTAACTAAAAAGTTGGCGGAGGATGCTGTTGACTAAGGACGTCTTTGTGCAGCGTTGCACGAAAAATCTGAAACAAAAACCTACCAAGACGTTTACTATAATTTCCATTTTGGTCTACCGGAACACTGACATCTCAGTTGTTTCATAACCGTCATTCAAACACTCACCCTCTGTGATGAGGACCTGCATGTAAACAAATGAACTTGCCCCACCTTTATAACTACAACTGTAAGGAAGTAATCCATCTCCAGTCTTGTCTATTTATAAGTAAAAACGTCTTCCTAATGTTTCAACGCGACGCAACAACTTTGTTTGTTGTTAAAAGCAAAGCTACATAATGGGCTATCTATGGTCTGCCAATCGCGGGAACCTAACCCCGATTTTTAACGTTATAAGCCCTCAGACTTACTGCTGTGCTACCGGTAAACGATTCAGCAAGTAACAGGCCTATGATGACACAAATTCTAGAATCAAAAGTAACTAATCACAATTCAACTACCTTTTCAAAAAACAAAAAATGTCTAAATTTTAAAATACAAACATAAGTGTTTCCGTGTTCAATAAGAGGCTACTTCCTTTTCCAAAAAAGGCAGAAAAATGTATCTCGAAGCATCCAAATTTTTGGAGAGGTTCCCTAGACCTCTGGAGGATCATGCCATCCAGAACCTTTCATTAGAAAATAACCACTCATCTTCAGAAAAAAAAAGAAACCTACAAAGAATTTCTAGCTCCGCCCCCGACAATGTTCAGCATCGCTGAGTAACCATGGCGGATATTATGTTTATTGAAAGACTTCAGACAGTACTGAGAATTTCAATGAACGAGCGCAACCTTATCGCGTGACATAAGAGGTAAGAGACTACAGCGTTCTATCTACCACCAGTGTCTGTCTGTCTGTCGTTGTTGTTTGTCGCAAAGCTACACAAAGGGCTATCTGTGTTCTGCCCACCACCGATATCGAAACCCGATTTCTAGCAGTATAAGTCCGCGGACATAATGCTGTGCCACTGTGGGGAAGGGGGCATCTGTCTGTCCAAGTTGTTTAATAATTATTCGTTAATCCAAATTTGTCAATGATTTAATCTATTTTAATCCATTCCCACACTTTTCTTAATTTAAAATATCTATAGATTTATTCTACTTTCTGTGAGAATAAGTAAACTATTTCTGCCTTAAAAAAAAGAATTGTCTGTAATTTTCAATCACCAATGGGATTAAAAACGTAAGACCATTTAACTTTTCTTAATATAAAACAAACTGATGAAAACATGTTTTCTTAGTTGAAAAATTGATGTCTTGAAAAGTTTGTCCAAAGAAGAATTAGAATTGAATCGAAGTAATCGAACATTTTTTATAGATGCTTCTTTTTTGTGAAATGCTGGAATTTTAGAGCCGTAATTAGGGAGGATTGTTTGTTTGTTTTTGAATTTCGCGCAAAGCTACACGAGGGCTATCTGCGCTAGCCGTTTCTAATTTAGCAGTGTAAGACTAGAGGGAAGGCAGCTAGTCATCACCACCCACCGCCAACTCTTGGGGCTACTCTTTTATCAACGAATAGTGGGATTCACTGTCACATTATAACGCCCCCACGGCTGAAAGGGCGAGCATGTTTGGTGTGACGGAGATTCGAACCCGCAGATTGGGAGTCGAGCTCTCTAACCACCGGTCCCTATTAGGGAGGAATGAACAGATCTACTGCTCAGAGCGCAAACTGATGATAGGCAGCAAAATGACGAAATGGCTTGCCACGGCACTCATAAAGGGTGTGAGGTGCATATATGTTAGCCTGCTCTATGTGCTAAATTGTTCCGAGCTACGTATTTGAAGGTCCAAGGCTCAAGCCACGATATGAATATCAACACCCTCCCAACTTTCAATTATAAAAGCGTTATAACTGTCACAGTTCATCCCGTTATATGTAAGAGTAGACGCATAGTCGGGGGTATCTCTGACCTGATAGCCCCCCCCCCCTTCAGTGGCACAGCGGACTTACAACGCTAGAAACCGGGTTTCGATACCCGTGGTGGACAGAGCACAGATAACCCATTGTGTAGCTTTGTGCTTAACTACAAACAAACTGACCTGATAGTTTACCCATTTGTCACACAAGATGTCGCTTAGGCTAAAAATCTCAAATGCACTTCTTTATTTTCCGAGTTTTTAAAGTTTACTAAGATTTTTTAAATGAAATATTCAATAGAACGTGGTTTGCATAATAATTCAGTATCAAGCATTTGCTTTTAAAAAAAACAGCGTTTAGTTTAATTAAAAAACAGCGTGAAGTTTATTTAATTAATCAAAAGGGGATTTCTTAGTCGCCTTACGTGTGCAATCATACGTGTGTCTGTATTGCATAGCTCACAGACGCATGTCATCAGACTCGTGCAGTTTCTCATTGATTTCTTCATTCAGTTAAAAGTATTGTTGGTCGAGGAAGTAGCGACACTCAAACCCACGCACTTGCAGGACGTATTTCAGACCCGAAACGAAACCTAGTGACGTTGCACCTTCGGTAACAGAACTGCGACCCTACTACATAATGATCTTATGCACAAAGTTCGGGCCTTAAGTCCTGAAGAGATGTAAAACAAGGTAATGTACCTGTGCATGAGTCCGATATACATGTATAACGTCCTGTACTATTTTCTTCTGACTTTACCTCTTACACAGATATAAACAAATATAGATTTATATACATATATATATATAGAGAGAGAAGGAATATAAGGTTGTACGTATAAGAAACTCGTTTAGATTGAAATATATTAAGTAACATGGCTGATTTGATTTTTTGTTAAATGGTCGGTTAATATATTTTTGAAAGAGTTAATTTTTCACACGTTAAAAAGTAAAAAAAAATCACTATTTCCTTTACGTTTGAAGTTGTAGCTTAGGCAATCAAATTTAGAAGATTTGAATCCCCTTGTTTGAGGGGAGGAGGTAATAAATGCCGAGCATAACGAGGCGATTTTTTTCTTAATTTTAACTTCTTGATCTTGGTCAAATTACTGTTTTTGTAACTATTAACCAACAACACTGGGCAGACGTTTGAGCATAAAATATTTAATATGTGCTCGCTGAAAAAACTTATAACTAAGGGGGAACGTCTCCCCTTCTTCCTAAGTCATACGCTCGTCATCGTCATTTCGAAAGATGTGATTGTGAGGTTCAAGGTGAAACATACAGTCTCTTAATTTTAGTACCATTGAGCTGCGGATCATGAGAGCTTGTCTAGGGGGAACGTCTCCCCTTCTCCCTAAATCATACGCTCGTCATCGTCATTTCGAAAGATGTGATTGTGAGGTTCAAGGTGAAACATACAGTCTCTTAACTTTAGTACCATTGATCTGCGGATCATGAGAGCTTGTCCAGGTAGAAGGGGGGATGCAGACACTTTAGTCCGGGTCCTCAGCAAGATCTAGGAAGCTCATGGCTTTTTTTATTTGAGACGGTAAAAACAACTCTATTTCTTAAATTTCTGTTAAGTTAATTCGACGAAAGAGAATAAAATATTTTTTTCGTTATTTTTGAGTAATCGTTTATTTTCCAAATTAATGTTAACTTATTTGTTTGTTTGTTTTTAGAACAAAACCACATTAGAATGTCTGCTGTGTACACCATAGGGAATCACAAAATACTTGAAGCTGTGGGTATGTTATTGGAGCGACAGTCAATCCCTTAGCGTGGACGATAGGGTGCTGGTGATTGGCTGCATTCCCTCTAGTCAGTTGTTCAAAATGAGGAACGATGGGAAGATAATCTTAGTACCTTTGCCATGAATACCGAATACAGATACTCTTGAACACAATGCATAAGGCCCGTCATAGCCAGGTGGTTAGGGGGCTCGATTCGCAATCTGTGGGTCACGGGTTCGAATCCCCGTCACACCATACATGCTCGCCCTTTCAACCGTGGGGGCGTTATAATGTGACGGTCAATCCCACTATTCGTTGATAAAAGAGTAGCCCAAGAGTTGGTGGTGGGTGGTGACGACTAGCTGCCTTGCCTCTAGTCTTACACTACTAAATTAGGGACGGCTAACGCAGAAAGCCCTTGTGTAGCCTTGCGCGAAATCCAAAAAAAACACAACACAATTCATAAAGGTTAGTAAGTGCCCTTTGGAGGTTTGTATTAAACTGTATGAGAGATAAGTATGACATTTGAAACCTAGTGAATCAAAATAGAACTGAATATAAATTGTAAAGATATGTTGAATACTACCAAAAATTTGTCGACTACGTTTTTTGGCTTGTAGCAGGAAATTCCATTTATATAAAAAAAAAGAAATATTTTCTCGGATTAATTTTAGAACTTTTAAATGAAATATGACTGAAAAAATATGACAGCTATTTTACCCTTCTGTGGTGAGTTAGTTATTGTTTCCAAGTTACGACCAAATTGATTATTGAAGTATTCGCTCCTCAATGCTTGCTTTATGCAAAATTGTTGTTAAATTTTAATCTAATCAGCGACTGATTAATTAGGAGATTAAATTTGTGCAATATACGTATATGAAAGTACTGATATAATATACGCTTCTTTCATTATACTTATGGAGTTTTATTTCTTAAGTACACTTACAATTCGAGCACTGAGCAGAACACATTTATTATTTGTATTTTTTCTTTTCCGGATAATACGATGTCTACTAAGTTAAATCAGTGTTAAACTTGTAGTACTTTTTAAGTGTGTGTGTGTGTGGAACTCGATGAGAATTTCAAATCTTATGTTTATCGTTCGTAGTTCATTCCTTCAGTTTGTTTGTAATTAAGCACAAAGCTA